TGGAGCATTTTCCATGTTGACTGCCAAAAAAATATGCTCTCTAGGTGAGCCTTCCCTGCAGCTTCTTTGAAATAAACAGGTTCTGTCTGTGCAGTGCTACTTTGTACACTCATGTTCACGAGTTCATGCTCCTGAGAGTAACTACAGGCATTCAAACTGTAGCAGTTTGGACACATTTAGAATTCTTTTAAATAAAAGCAATATATTGAACTTTTTACAGCAGCCGATTTGTGTTTGTTCCTGGCCCTGAAGACCCTGGCCCAGGTTCTATTCTACCACGGTCAGTTTGATACACCTTTTTCAAATTTTAAAATACTTAGTAAAACAGTTAAAGAAGATAAGAATCTTAGCTCCTTTATTTGTTGCTATTTATTTTAGACCTCCTCTGGCTGAAAATATCACCCAGGAATTCAGACAGTTGGTGCCATTTTCATTTTTCACCACAAATCCTTGCAGGTAACAGTCTAACTTGATGCTTCTTTACTGAATGACTAATTTGTGTGTAGATGTAATGGTCTTAAATTCTCTGAATTATTTCAATTCCTCACTTACATTACCTATAACATTAATATATGAAAAGATCAGTGAAGAAAGTTAACATAACTCCCTATTTTAATTTACTATGAAATAAAGTATTCTGTGCATATACTTTCAAAAACACTGATTGACAGTAGTGCTAAAAGTTAGATAAAAGAATATGAAAAACCTGCTCAAGTGTATCATGTTTTTTGGGAATGAAGGGAAAATGGGAAGTAGTATTTTAATTGAAATGCACTTTTTCATTTTGCTGCAAGTTAGAGGGAGAAGATCAACTTTCTGATACAGACCCTCCTGTTTTAGTGTTTCATTCCAATTCATTTAACTTTGTTAATATTTGCTATTTAGGATTCAATATTGCACACAAGAAATAATTATCTTTCGGGAAGATTTGGTAAACAAGATGTGCAGAAACTGYGTCCGCTTCCCTAGCAGCAACATGGATATTCCTAACCACGTAAGTGAGCCAYGCTCAGCACTTCTTGCTAAGATCTCTTTTTCTGTTCGTCTCGTCTGAATTAAGGGTGCTCTAGGCTGTGTACTTCTTTGCAAAACCTTGTAAAAATAAACAAGTTTCATGAAAGAATTGTAAAGGTAGATGTATAAATGCAGTGTTAGGACTTTGATTCGCATCTTTGTGATAAAATAACTGGCACCATGATATTCCCTGGTGGTGCTGAGTCATTTTGACCGTGCCAGTGCAGGCATCCTTGAATCCAGACCTTCCCAGCAGCTCCCTCCAGGTGCTCATGCACCAGCCACGCACTTTGTACCAGGAAACATTGATCCCTAAAGGGAAGCTTTAGCACAAATTGCCTTTTGAGGCTTGATCCATTAACCAGTGACATTTACAGTGAAGCAGCACGTCAGTGTTTTGAAAGGTCGTATGCTTCCTCTGACTTCTCGCTTGAGGTCTTAATCCTGCTTTTGAATAGTCTCCGCAGCACTTTGAGTTATGATTCTAGTTAATGAATGCACAGCAGGAGCAGATAGAACGTGCTGATAAAATGGAATGAGGGTGATTTAGGCAACACTGGCTCTCTGCAGTGACCAACTCTCTTTCTATTTGTTTTTTACTTGGTTTGGTTTTGAATTGGCAACTTCCTCTTAACTCTTCCCTGTTCCTCCCTTTCTTCTCTGTGTGCATGTGTTTACTCAGGTGCATCTATGCACCAGAAGTCGCCACTCCTTCACTCACAGAAGTTTGTTTCTTGTGTTAGGAGAGGAGGAATCATGAAGAAAAATTTTCTTATTGCAACACTTGTTTTCCAGTATCTGCAACTACAAATACTGGGCTGCTCTTGCATGCTTATTTTTTTTTCAGTCTTTTTTTTGCCTAAATGATCAATTATTTAATTATACCATCAGTGCAAAAAGATGAATGGGAGAAGAATTAATAATCTTTTTAGGCTTCCCACAGGGTTAGTGGGCTTATGCTTTGTATAGCATTCTCTTTTCACCAGTAGACCTTTTTACCAAGTTGGATCCAATGAGATCCATTGCCCTTGTGTGACTAATTACAGATAATAAAAGTTTTCAAGGAGCTTCAAGAGCCAAGATTCCTTGGGCAGAATCCGCTGGATGAAGGGAGTTCACAGGGCTTGGGTAGTGYCTAGGGCAGGGCAGCTCCCTGAACAGCAGGCGAGGGAATGGAAATTGTGAGGAAATCGGAAGCTCCAGAGCAGGGAAAAAGCTGTGTTTAGCTGTGGTGAACTGGCGTTGTGAGGAAATTAAACAGAAGCTCTTGGAAGGAAAACACAGCAGATCCTGTGCTTTGTTGGAGAGTCCTATCAATGGAATAGTTGTCATACAATTTATTCAGACTGCCATTATGTGAAATTAGAAAAAAAAAAAAAAAAAAAAAAAAGGGGACCTTAAGATATTGCCTGTTAGGTTGCAGAAATGGCTTTGTATTAACAACAAACAGCAGCTGACTGTTAGGACAGCTGCTGCTTTATTCTAAAAAATCATTAATGCATTTTAAGGGAAATGCATTAAGAATACTAGTATCTCCAGGAACAACACTTCTTTCTTAACTGGGCGTTGGTAACTGCAATTGAGGCTGGAATATATTTGGCTAGAAAACAGTTCAAACTAATCTAATATATTTTTATCTTGCAGTTTGTAAAGACTATATTATCACAGGGGCATCTGACGCCACTTCCACTTTATGTTAGCCCTGTGTACTGGGCCTACGACTACTCCCTGAGGGTGTATCCCTTGCCGGACATGCTGGTGATCGCAGATAAATACGACCCTTTCACTGTCACCAACACTGACTGCCTTTGCATAAATCCCGTAAGATTTTCGTATCGATTTCCAAAATAATGTTTCACTGGATTTCTGTAATCATTTAATTTACAGAGTGGAATCATTTAAATACTAGGAAAATTAGTAAGTGTTCAGCAGCCAAAGGGAGGGCAGCTATGTTTAAGTGTGTCTTTTGCTGTGTGTCTCCTGTTTCCTATATGCAAGTGTGGTATGTATTTCTTTACAGGGTTCATTTCCAAGAAGTGGTTTTTCATTCAAGGTGTTCTACCCCTCCAACAAGACAGTTGAAGACAGGTAAATATGTTCAGTTCTTTATTTTARGCAAATATATTTTTATTTGTTGACTTTCTAATTCTCAGAAGAGTCGCACAAAATCATAAAAATAGAGTGAATGTTCTCTGATTCTACTTCCTGCCTTGCAGCAGAAACTTTGTTTTTTCCCATGTGGGGATATAATGCCCCAATATATGGGAACTGATAATAAACTGATAATATGCATGTGACCTTTACTGGAATATAGAAAATATCATACCACATAGCTTTGTTGTGGTATTTAAGTTTTAAATAAGTCTTTAAATAGTTTTAAAAAATCATCAAGTCTTTCATATACCAAGAAATGGAATCACGTGTTATTTATTGTGTACTGTTTTAACAAACTAAATATTGTTTTTCTTTGGTATTTTCAGCAAGCTCCAGGGTCTCTGAATTTCTGCAAGACTGCAAAAAAAACGATAAGCATTTGCGAAGTTACTGTAGTACTTGTTTTAGATGGATTGATTTTATTGTGTATTAGTGACTGAGTAAATGTCAAAGCTAAAACTGGTATATTTTGTAAATAAACTTTTATAGGTAAAGTTGTTGGTTAGCTTTGTCAGTAAAACGTAGAGTGGCAGCAAGGTTGATTTGAAGGACAGAATAGAAAGATGGCAACTGAGAACCAGATGCATATATATCAAATAGGAAGCATCTATTTATTTATTTAAGAATATAAATAGAAGTTTGGTTCTCATCACACTGAGTCAAACGGATAGCTGGTTGCTTCCAGCAGAGGCTGGAAAGACAGGMTAGAATTTTGCTTTGGAAAGTTTAGAGGAGATGGATGAGGTATTGACCGCTGGTGGCAGTTCAGGTTGTGGATTACACCGCATGGACAAGCCAAGAAGAAGTAAAACAGGAGGAAAAGACAGTTTCCTTGGATTGAGAGAGAGGATCCTCTCTCCCTCTCGTCAGCTCTGGTGAGGCTGCACCTGGAGTATTGGGGGCAGTTCTGGGCTGCCCAGCACAAGAGGGATGTGAAACTTCCAGAGATGGTCCAGGGGAGGGCAACGAAGATGATGAAGGGACTGTAACATATAATGAGGTGGGACTAAGTGAGCTGGGCCTGTTTAGCCTGGAGACATTGAGAGATCTATCAACATGTACAAATACTTAACAGGAGGATACAAACTCTTCTGGGTGGTAGCCAGTGACAGGACAAACCTAGGCAGCTCCATGTGGCCGTGAGGAAGAACTTGTTTGGTGTGAGGGTGCCCAAGCCCTGGCCCAGGCTGCCCAGGGAGGCTGCGGAGGCTCCTGCTCTGCAGATCTTCCCAAGGCACCKGGATGTCCCTGCTGGAGCAGGGCCTGCGCTGGGTGATCCCTAGGGGTCCCTTCCAACCTCAGCCATCCTGTGGGTCTGTGAAACATCTGCCACAGGTTGGGTGGAGGCTGCTGTGCTCGAGGGATCACGCTGAAGGAGTGACCAGCCGGGAAGGACAGAATGAGGCTGTAGCCTTCTATGCTAGTGTGTGGCTCAGCTTACACCACAGTGCCGCCAAACAGCGCGTGAACTCGATTCTCACTTGTAGAATTGAAAATTTGGAGAAGGAATTTGKGAGAAATCCCTCTCCTTTGGAGGGAAAAGAAAGCAAAAAGCTGGTCCAGCYCCTCGCAGACTCGCGAGTCCCGAGGGCACAGGCATTCGCGAAGCGAGAGGCCCAAGAAACAGGGAGGGCGACCCAGGGCAGGCTGGCGGCCTAAAGCGGGAGCGCGCGCCATCTTGTTTAACGTCCCCACGGCAACGCGCGCGACCCGGAAGAGAAGGCGCCATCTTGTTTAGCGTCTCCACGGCAACGCACGCAACCCGGCATGGGAGTCGCCATCTTGTTTGGCATCTCCACGGCAACGCGCGGTGCCGGTTCGGCGGGGCGGCCATGGCGGGCGCGGGGCGGCTGGAGGAGCTGGACCTCAGCGCCGAGGAGGTGGAGCGGCTCCGCCGGGCCTTCCGCGACGAGCGCTTCCGGCAGCTGCTCTCCGAGTACGCGGCGGAGCTGGCGGACCCCGCGCAGCGGCGGCTGTACGAGCAGGAGGTGACGGCGCTGGAGCGCGAGCGCGGCGTGGCCGTGCAGTTCATCCACCCCACGGCGGGCTACGTGCTGCGCACCAGCCAGGACGGCGCCCGCCGCTGCTACCTCAACGTGTGCAGCAACGCGCACGTGGGCGCGCCCGAGCCCCGCGCCGAGCGCGGCGGGCTCCGCTGGGCGCTGCCCTACTGCCTGGCGCCGGGCCGCGAGGAGCTGGGCCGCGGCGGGCGCCGCCTCCTGCTCTACGACGTGGTCTTCCACCCGGCCGCGCTGCGCATGGCCGCGCGCAGCGCCCGCTTCCGCCGCCTGCTCAGCGACACGGCGCTCGAGGCCGTGGAGCGCCGCTTCGCCGTGCGCCTCGACCGCGCCAACGCCGCCGTGCTGCGCGGCGCCRCCTACAAGGGCGTCCCGCAGGCGCCCGTCATCCGCAGCCCGCTGCCCGGCGGGGCCCCGCCGCCGCCCGACGGCGCCTCCGCGCTGCCGCCCTTCCCCTACCCGCCGCCGCCGCCCGCGGAGCCCCCGGCCCCGCCGCCGCCGCCCGCGGAGCCCCCGGCCGCCGCCGGCGCCCCCACGACGCCGCGCTGGAGCCTGCGGCAGCGCAGCTACGTGGAGCTGCAGGACTACCGGTGCAGCCGCGACGCGGCGCCCAGCCCCGTGCCSCGCGAGCTGGTGCTCAGCGTGGAGCTGCCGCTGCTGCGCTCGGCGGCGCGCGTGCAGCTGGAGGTGCGCGGCCGCGAGCTGCGCCTCGACTCGCGCCGCCCCGCCTACCGGCTGCGCCTGCGCCTGCCCTACGCCGTGGACGAGGCCGCGGGGCGCGCCGCCTTCCGCGCCGACACGCGGCAGCTGCTCGTCACGCTGCCCGTGGTGCCGCGGCCCGCGCCGCGCCCGCCCCGCGCCGAGCCGGCGGCGGCGGAGGAGGCCGAGGCGGGCGGCGCGGAGCCCCCCCCGGGCCCCGACGAGGAGCCCCCAGCGGCCGCCGGGAGGCCCGTCCCGGAGCCGCCCCCCGCAGCCATGGCCCCGGCCCTGTGCCCGCCCTTCCAGTGCCGCCAGGACGAGGCCTCGGTCACGCTGCTGCTGCAGGTGCCCGGCATCCAGCCCGGCAGCCTGCGCGGGGACCTGGGTGCCCATCACTACCGACTGTGCTTCCGCAGCGGCGCCGCCGCCTACGCGCTCGCCCTCCAGTGCTGCCCGTCCAACGCGTTGGCTTCTGCAGAGCCCCACGTGGACGTGTCGGCCCGCAACGCCACCGTCACCCTGGCCAAAGCCCCCGACAGCACCGGGCCATGGGAGAAGCTGCTCTTCGGCCTCGACGCCGATGCCGCGCTGCAGGTAATAACAGTGGGCATGGAGCACCTGGATTATTGGGCGCTGCCCAAGCACCTGCCCTGCGGTTGGGGCTGCACGAGGGCAATGAGCCCCAGTCGGGGAGWTGTTAGTTATTGGTGTGCACTCAAAACGAGCAGGAACACAGCAGTGAGAAGAGCAGCTGCGAGCAGGYGGCTGTCGATAGCCATTCTGTCAGGCTGCTCCTGTGTTCTCTTACTGTGGTGAACGCAGTTCTGGTGAAGGTACCGCCTTATTCTCGTGGTCGCTAGGCCATGARTGCTGCACGTGACGGTAGGAGCCTGACACGTGCACACGTCTGCCTGGCGCCACTTAGTCCCCAAGGAGACGCTCGTGCTGGGGCGCCCGTCCCGCGAGGGAGCCCCGCTTTGCGCAGGGCTCCGTTACAGCACGAGCTCAGGGCTGCACAAAACCTGCCGCGTGCAGCTCGGCCCTGGGAGCAGATACAGCCCTTGGCAGCCTGCATCACATCGCAGCGGTGCAAGAGAGCACGTGTGCTGGGGTGGTGGCTGGCCGTGCAGTGACTGCTGCAACCCTAGAGCTAGGAGACACCGTGTAGCCCTAAGGGAGATGTCTCTGTCCAGCTGGGATACGTGCGGCTTCATCTTCACGTTTTATTTCTCTTTGAGCAGGCCTAGGCAAAGGCCTTTCTGCCATAGCAGCTCCCCCGAAGGCGAGTGGTTGTTTTGGGTTAGTACCACGGGCGAGGAGGGGATATGAGGATATCAAGAGCCACCTGCCCGGAGCTGCTGGAAAGGCCATGCCCTCGGATTTACCAAACGGAGCCTGCAGATCAGTGTGAGCGCGGAACAGGCGGCATCCCTGGCACTCRGTTCGACCAGGGACTCGCTGCCGGAGCAGCGTCAAACCAGGCACCAGCTCCCCGTGGCGTTAGGGACGCGCGGGTGTGTGGGAAGCAAAGGTGTCCCGGCTGCTCTTCCCACCGTGGCCACGCGCGGTGCCTCCCTGCCGGCCRTGCCCGGCCTCCGGCACGCGGCTTTCACAGCCTTGTCACCAGCAGCTCTCGGGCCTGCTGCAGCCTCTAGTTTGGCATCACTGCGATGCCCTCTTTTGTTGGTGTTTATAGCTAAATTGTYGTAGCGAAGTGCGGCCCTTTCTAACGGAGGAAAAAAGCTTTCTGTGAGTACATGGGAATGTTGCTGAGAGCAAGGAGTTCAGTTTGGGAAGAGCAAGTGCTGCTGCAGTGTCCTTTCAATGGTGACCCCGACAGATCGCTCTTTTTGCTTCTTTGGATCTCCATCCAACGRTTAAGATGTTTGGTTTGTACATTCATCAGTGTGACTGAGAGAAGGTCCTTTGACTGACAGAGGCCATCCATCACTTTTGTAACTTTTTTTTTAATTGCTGAATTTATATATTGAAACATATTTTGGATGGAGTAAAAGGAGATTCAGAAGCAGTAATGGACTATTCATTTGTGTAGCAGACTGAAAGGATTGATTTCTTCTGAGGTCCAGACTCTTTTTCACAGCRGACCCACAGATTGAAGCAGTTAAGATAATCTGAAGTCATTCTGTTTGCTTTTATTTTTTTTAACTGCTATTTCCCCAAAGTGTCAATGCCAGCACTGATAGCTGCAATCACTTACAGTGGAGTGAGAAAAAATAATATTTAATTAGAGCTACTATTATGTGCTGTCCTCTATTAACTCTTTGCTCTTGATAGCTTCTCTTCTACTTCTGTCGCTTTCTTTTTCCTGCTGTAATCTCTGTTCTGCTTCTGTTCTGAATACGTTTCTGTTGATCTCAGCTGTATTTCCTGTGTCTCCATGTATCTCCTGCATTTCCTGTATGCTCCTGTATCTCCAAGGAGTTGCCTCAGTCACCCTGTGAACCTCAGGGAACAGAAGTTTTAGCCTCCCAGTCGCTCTGTTGCTCCCTTGTTTGTACTCTGTTATCCTCTACYGATGCCACTGGGCGAGTGGACGGTGTCTGAAGAAGAGGCAAGTTTTTTATGGATACTAAGTTCCTGTTCTGGTRAGCTCTGTGAGTTGCTGCTTGCAGATGCCAGGGGGATCCGCGATTCCGGGCTGCTGGGCACAGGTTCTTCGCTGGGCAGTCGCCTCGGGAATCGGCCCCGCTCTGTGCCGCTCTCGCCGCGGTGCTGCCTGCGGTGCTGCCCCACCAGACCAGGAGGCCTGGAACAGAACAGCAGGGGCAGGTTTCCATTTTGGAAGGCTGGATACGCTCACGTCTCTGTGCTGAGAGCTGATACATGCGGAGCTCAGTTCCTGTAGATGCTGAGCAGTTCGAATTCCCACTGCAGTGAGAAGCAAACACTTCCATCTAGCAAATCTCTGCAGTCCCATCCTCGGACCTTTAATGTGTCATTGCSGGTCTTCCTTCCTGCTGCCTTCCCGATTGCTCTTGATTTCGTTTTGCTTCTCCTGCTCTCCATGTGGTAGCTCTCTGCTGACTCCACGCAACAACTTTTTTACCAGCCTCTGCAGCCACTGCTTTTCTTTCTCTTTGAGTAGTTTTGTTCCTTGGACAAATCATAACACCTACCTGCTTGCTATGGTGAACAGAAACCTCCTAAGACTAAAATTTCCTTAACTTTGTCTTCTTCGGCCAGAGTCATCTTATATCTGAGGGCCTTAACCTTTATCCTTCCTCACTGCTTTTCTCCTCCATCCCGGTACCAGAGATGCAGAGAGTTTTGCCTTTCCGCAAGCTCTGGGATTCCTGGGGCAGGAGAGCCTGGATCTGGGAGCACTGCCTGACTTTGCTGCCAGCCCCTGCTTCTGTCCCTCCCTTTGCAGAAGCAGCGGGGTTGTTGCTCCTTTATTGCAGTTTATCCAGTGACACTCATCTCCCTTCCAGCTTTATAAATCCTGAGGGCTCAGGCCTAGGAAGCTCCAGCATTAGAGAGTCACCATAAGGTAACYTAGAGAGCCTTAGAGAGTCACGTAAGGTAACAGAGGTTGGGGAGTGAATGATGGAAAAGAATGGTGGAGAATTAAATAACCATTAATAAAACTTGTAGGTGTGGTGAGAAAGGCTTGGGGGAACAGTGTGTGGCAGAGCTGGAGTTAGGAATGACTTAAACCTTCTCAAAGAACCGTCTGCTTATGTTTGGTCTCAGATGCTTGGCTCTCTGATAGAAGTTAAACCTGGTCTTTGTCTGAGTGTATCTGGACTGTGCAGAACGTTATTTGGACTTGCAGGCTCAGCACGTGAAAAGCATGTGGYATTTAATTAGTTGTGCCTGCGGTTTTAGGGTCATATGCACTAATTTTTGTGTGGTTAGAGAAAGGTGGGTTAAAGCAGTGATTGCAGTGTGTGCAGCAGTCCCTTCCCGCTCCTGTCGGTCCACATGCCACGTGGGTCTAAAATAACTTCCTTCAAAGGATGTGCCCTTCTCTGCTGCTGATTATGTCCTCTGATGTTCCTCTTTGAAGGAGGGACTCCCTGATATCAGCTCATCCCTGACGTGTCTGGCCTAAACCCAACACAATCACATGGGCAMTTGTGCTCCCACCTTCTGTCTTAATCCGTATACACGTTCTGACGTCTAATTTATTTCTCGTGATCCCAATCACAAGCTTTGACGTTGTTCAATATAGTGGTGCAGAGAAACTTCTTGATTTGTTTTCATTACTGTGCAAGGTAGTTTCTTCTTTGCTCGACAAGGAAGAGCAAACCCTCTTGCAGCAAAAGCCCATGCTCTCTTATGGCGAATATCAGGATTTCTCTCCTGTCAAGGATGCGGGCAGCCCTCTGTGAGGTTCCAGGCAGCAGCAGCAGGAAGAGAAATATTTGCTCTGCTTCACTATGTATTGAGATGTATTTATTTCTAACAATATGAAAAGTATCATGTTAAAACAATCCTGAGCTTTTTATGTTTTAGCTAAGCATATGTTATACTGTTTGCAAGAATTGCTCAACATAGATATTGAAGGGGGATTTGCTCAGTGATAGGAAAGCTTTGTTTAACTGTTGTGTGCAGGCTGACCTTCTGGATAGAATCCTAGAATCCTTAAGGTTGGAAGGGACCTTTGGAGATCATCCAGTCCAACCCTCTGCACACGCAGGGTCACCCAGAGCACGGGGCACAGGGTTGTGTCCAAGCGGGTTGGGAAGATCTCCAGAGCAGGAGCCTCCCCAGCCTCTCTGGGCAGCCTGTGCCAGGGCTCGGGCACTGTCACTGTCAAGAAATTTTTTCCTTAAGTTCCTCTGGAACTTTTGGTGCCTCAGTTTGTGGCCGTTTCCTCTAGTCCTGTCGCTGGCCACCACTGCAAAGAGGCCTCCCCATCCTCCTCACTGCCTCCCTTGAGGTGTCTGTAGACACTGCTCAGGTCCCCCCTCAGCCTCCTCTTCTCCAGGCTGAACAGGCCCAGCTCCCTCAGCCTTTGCTCACAGGGCAGACGTTCCAGGCCCCTGAGCATCCTGGTAGCCCTGCGCTGGACTCTCTCCAGCAGCTCCACATCCCTCCTGTACTGGGGAGCCCAGAACTGGACACAGTCTCCAGATGTGGCCTCACCAGGGCTGTGTACAGGGGGACGATCCCCTCTCTCGACCTGCTGGAGACGCTCTTCTTGATGCACCCCAGAATCCYGTTGGCCTTCTTGGCCACCAGGACACACTGCTGCCTCATGGTCATCTTGTCATCTAAAGGCTTTAGTGGACGTGTTACCCAGCATACGAGCGCAGGGATTTTGCTGTCACGAAGKAGATCCCGTCGAGGCTCTCGTCGCCCTTGGGAAGCGGCGGTGCCTCAGAGCGAGCCCTGCTGYGGCTGCAGCCCCGAGGCGATGTCGGGGTGGCCGTGGGCGAGCGGTGCCGCTGGGGCCGCCTTGGGGATCCCCGGTGAGGCCTCGCGGGGAAACGGGCTCCTTGCCTTGGAACGGACACTCGGAAGGGGCCGGTTCATCCACATCTTCCCGGTGCAGAACTGTGCTGCTCGCTCCCTTGCTTGCAAATCCCCCTGGAAGTGCAGGATCCCATGGGAGAGCGAGGTCAGGTGCAGTCTGGCTGCCTTTCCTGCTGCGCGGGGGTTTTGCTGCTATTTCCAGCCAGCTTTGAGCTGTGTTACAAACCTTCTTTGAACCTTTCAATCGATGATTTTTAATTTTTGACTTGCCAAATGCTATGAAGAGTTAATACACTGTGCTTAAAGGGCGCTCTTGGAAGGCGATGCCAGAGACTAGGACTTTTGTGCTTAGTCCTACAAATGTTTATTTTTGGTTCAATTAATTGTGTGCTCGGTGTTTCAGGACGCTTGGCAAGTTTTGCTGGGGAGGTCAGAGAAGGACAGCAAAGGAGAACAGAACAAATGCAGTGTTGGGTTCTCTTTTTGAAGCAATCTCTTTTCCAAACTACATTAAAAAGAATTATTTTGCTTCTGCTATGCAAGAAACTAATTTCTGCCTAGCCTTTAATAGGTAAGTACATTTTGAGAAATAATACACGTATATGGAACACGGTTATATCAGGAACCACCATTAGTGTTTGGATTAAGCTGGCCAAAGCCTCTGGCCTGTTTAATGTTTGCAGCCATGAAGAGCATTTAGAAGGTTTCCCCCTGTGCAGTAATTCCAGTAATTTGCAGTAATTTGCTTTCTTCCAGTGGAGCTCCAGGTCCTCCTGCCTGGTTGCGGTGGGATCCCAGGAACCGAGGGATCCCGGAGCTCTGGGGATGTAGGTGCCTTTCGCSTTGGCCTCGCTTCAAACCCTGCCCCGCTCCTGGGCTTGGGCAGCCTGCGTGGGAGGCAGCTCCGTGCCAAGGGGCCCGGGGACGTTCCGAGCACAATCCGTGTCCTTGGGACGAGCAGCCTCGGCCAGGGGCTCCGCGTGGCGCCCGCTGCTCCTGCGCGCGCTCCGCACGGCGCTCGGGAGCCAACGTCCTTCCTGCCCACGGCCGTGCTCAGTCACGAGGGAAAATGTGTGTGTACCAAGCAGCAGAAGACAGTCTGTACGGGGAAAATCAATTGAAATTCCAAGTTGCTAAGGGACTATCATAAATATCAGGAAATGCACTGTTTAAAGCCGAAGAATTACTCTACAGGGTCATTTAAATCATTCTGTGGACACCTGCCCTCTGCTGCTCCCCCGAGCCAGAGGAAACGGCCTTTCGAACGTGTTCCYGCGTTGGCTTTTGCCAAGGTCTGTGCTTTGATAACATCTGCGGTGGCGTAAGCGCCTCGGCRCACACTCCCCGCGAGTACAAAAAGCCGCTGCCGTGAAATCTTCACTATTTATTAAAAGGCAAGCGTAGGAGGTGGTGTTCGACCTGCTCCAACTGGCGCACAGGAGCGGGACAAAGTGCTACAGACGTCATCACCAGCCGTAGCTTTTCTATGCCCCGTGCGAAATAATGATAAATAGCCCTTGCATTCCGTGTCAGCGCGTTAACAGGGTTTGCTGGGAAGCAAATAAGTTATTTTGCTTGGAATCCGCAGTGACCTCCCGAGGGGTTTGTGGCGTTGGCTGCCACGGGGCCCACGGGTTTGCGCTCGGGATAAGCGGCGCCGCGCGGGTGCTCGGGCGGAAGGGCCGCCCCGCGCTGCCCCTGGTCCCCGGCGGTGTCTCCTGCCCTGTCCTGTGCCTGGGGGGTTGTGCCCGCGTGGGGGGCCCTGTGTCAGAGCCCCTCGCAGCGCCTGCCCTTCCTCGCCGCTCTGGAGCCAACCTGAACCTTGCGGTTTCCGCGGGGGAGCGTGTGGCCAAATGGATCCGGGAGGCGTCACCCGGGGACGGGATTTGCCGCATTCTGGCACACAGCGGCGCTTCGCCAACCGTGGTCCTCTGAAGCCTCTCCTCTCTGGCTTCCCACGCCCGTGCCTTGCTTCAACTGGGCCGCTCTGTGCAGACGTTACCAGTTGGGTACCAGTTTTATCAAGAGCGCAGATGCTCACTTGGGTCCCTGACAAAACAGCAGCAAATTGAGGGGAAAAAAAAATGACCATTAGCCCCATTTTGTGCAGGAAAACTGGAGGCGAAGAGACCTGCTCACGGTAAGGGCAGCAGGTGAGAAAGCCGAGACAGAAGCAAAGTTGCTGAGACCTGAGGAACAGAGCTGTGCCTTTGCCCGAGGTGTGTGCGGCGGCGGGAAGGGCCTTTGGCTTGGCCTGCACAAGTGCAGATGCCTCCAGCTCCTTCAACTGGTGAAGATGGGAGAAGTCTCCATGGACGGGTGCCAAACAGCTGCCATCGTGTCTGTTTAATGGTCTCTGCTTTATAAGGTTCGATCTTGAAACCTGAGCATTCATGTGCACTGGAATCGCAATGCAAAGAGGTGTTTGCGTTTTCCTAAAGAAAGACATTGAAACAAATCYCCAATCTTCTCTGATTTTAAGACAACTGAAGGCAGAGGGGCAGTGTTGCAGCCCCTRCTGCTCCACGCAGTGTCCTGCCTTGCGCAGCCAGCACCTCCTGACCTCCCTCCGGGTGGGATGCAGATCCACGCTTCTCCTCACAAGCAGCTCAACACTGTTTTTCCTTTTCCCTTCACCCCATTCCTCCCAAATGTCTAAATCCATAACTAGAAGTGACTGTTTGGAAGGCTGCCCTGTGAATCGGGGCTCTGTCGTTGTTTTCGGTGGGTTTCTTGCTCCAGAAGCACTGAGGTATAACACGAAACATAACCTGCTTCTMCCTTTCTTTAGGAGAGATGGTTTGTCAGCGAGGACAACATCGATGGGTTTCTAGACACTGTTTTATGCCCTTCCTCGTGCCAGCAGCCAGTGCCCGAGAGCCAGCCGTTAATTGAAGTGCTTGACGTTGCTGAGGACAAAAGTCACATCAGGCTGCAGGTGAGAGCTCGGCTGGTTGCATGTATTGCTCAAACACGACTGAAGCAGCTTTGTTCCTGCTCTGCCTTGTTGCAGCAGGGAGAACCGTAGAGAAGGCTGCATTTGCAGCTAGGAAACATATGTTGGTGCCACCTAATGTGGCCAGTGTCTGGAAGCCAACTGTGCGTGGCAGGAGGGCTGCGACACCGGCCCTGGACGCGGTGTTTGCTCCAGGAAGGGCGAGTGCGTCCACGCGCTGCCCCTCCTTGGTGGTGAGAGCAGAGCCAACCAAAGCCACGTTTGGTGTTTGGCATGTGGTGGTGTGACCACGTTTGGTGTTCAGCTCTGGGGAGGCCAAACCTGGAGCACTGGGGGCAGCTCKGGGCTCCCCGGGACAAGGGGGACGTGGAGCTGCTGGAGAGGGGCCAGCGCAGAGCSACAGGGATGGGGAAGGGGCTGGAGCAGCTCGTGTGAGGAGAGACCGAGCGAGCGGGGCCTGTTGAGCCTGGAGRAGAGAAGGGKGAGAGGGATCTGATCARCATGGACAAACACCTGAGGGGAGGATGGAGGGAGGAAGGGGCCAAACTCTTCTGGGTGGTGGCCAGTGCCAGGACAAGGGGCAGTGGGGACAAGGTGAAGCCCAGGCAGCTCCGTGTGGCCGTGAGGAAGAACTTGTTTGGTGTGAGGGTGCCCGAGCCCTGGCCCAGGCTGCCCAGGGAGGCTGCGGAGGCTCCTGCTCTGCAGATCTTCCCAAGGCGCCTGGATGCGCCCGGGTGCCCCGTGCTCTGGGTGTCCCTGCTGGAGCAGGGGCTGGGATGGATGATCCCTAGGGGTCCCTTCCAACCTCGGCCATTCTGGGGTTCTGTTTAGAGGGGCCTCGGGTAGCCTCTGGAGCTGGTGACACTCGCTTGGTGCTGCAGGCGGGTCAGGGCAGCTCTCCTCACAACCGACCAAATGCTCCTGAACTGGAAAGGAGTGGGTGACCCACGGCCTTCACATACACGTGTGGGCCGGCATTTTGGAGGGTGCATCCAGGGAAAGGCACCGATATCCGGAGCTTCCCCGTGGGGCCCCGGCATCCTGGAGAAGGAGGCCGGGAACCTGCTGGGCCTCATTAGGATGGAGAGCGGTGCTCAGGGAACCCCGCTGTTTTACTCTCTCTTTACTCGTCACGCCAGTGAAGCTTTTGGAAGAGTCGAGTCTCTTTATGGTTTTCAGTGCAATTTCTTGAATCCTCGGTGGTTTCCTATTGTGTAGATAATTAAATGTGGGACTGCCAACCTTAAAGGTGGCCTGAAAATCACTGCTGAGCGTGTTTAAGGCCTCATTCCGGCTGCCCCTCTTCCTCAGTCATCCTGTCTGTGCAAAGCTTACCAGGTAGCCAGTATACGTGGTTAAAACTGCCTCCCTTTACAATGTAGGAAGCTGAAAGGGAAAAGTTAAAGAACTTATCAAAAAAACATTTAGGAAATTTGCACCCATATTAGAAACATAGGTTGGYTCTCTCAATTCTTCATTTTCTGTTTTAAAAGCAAGAATCTCTCTTATTTATAGTTGGAGTGCACAGGAATGTAGCCACTAGTTTCTTTAGTCTCACTTTTTTTGTCAGAGAAAATGAAAGGTTTGTTGTGGAAATAGGAAAATGTGAGGTAGAGTTCCCAGACTGACTGGGTTTCTGGTAGAAACTGTGCTAGAAATCCATTTAAATCTTTTCTTGCTGGGAAGATAAATGTGCAGGGGCCATAAACCGGAGTGCAGAAACGGTCTCACCTCTGTGGCTGCTGGAACACAAGCTCCAGCAGAGCCCGTGGCCTGGGCTGCAGCGCCCACTCCAGGGGCTGAACCTCTGTCCCTGGCAGGGACCGTTCATACAGAAATGAAATAAAATCCCGATTTGTTAAAATCCTCGGGAAGCTGATCCCTGCGTTAAAATCYTCGGGAAGCTGATCCCTCCCTTGTTCCCACGTACACCACGGCCACCAGACCATGGGCTGGGGAAGGCCCCGGGATCTTCCAGTGCGGCTTCACGGCTGTAGGTGTTTGAGCTGTTCCTAGAAACAAGTGGTCTGGGCCGCTCGTTACAGCGTTCTGCGGGGCTGGGTCAGTTTTAAATACTGAGCAGTTTGTTTTCCCAACAGCCTCAGGAGGCAGCTCCCTCTGAGCCAGGTGACAAAGAACAACCGGATAACAGCCCTGAAAGAGATCCTGCCAAAGAGCCAAAGGGCACCGAGCTCCAAACAGAGAC